AATAGATCCAAAAGATGCATAGGAAAGCTGAATGTTTGTAGGTGTGTTGAGCAAGAAAGCGAGCATATTAAATAAGAATACTTTATTAGAATAGCCCAAACAATGTCTACGTTTTAATATTGTTAATAAAGAACATGAAAGCAAGCCAAGTTGTTCTCTTATGTTCTCTTTCTATCGAAGAAGATAATTAACATTACTCGCTATGAACTTAAAAAAAAATCAGGATTTTTTATTTCAATACGTTTTTTTTTATTCATCTTGACCAAAATGAAAACAAAATATTCTATCTGTAACAATATAAACACATCCCATATTATATATAAATAAACGTTGATCATAATCGTCATACGTCCATGACTCCCTCCATTGGCAGCAGCAGCAACAGCGACGGCGATGATCATTACTTATGCTTGGACTTCTTCTTTTTCTTCTGCTTCTTCTTGTGTTTTTTCTTTCTCCTGTCCTTCTCGTCCTCGCTGGACGAGCTGTCGCTGTCTGAGCTGCTGGAGGTGCTCTCCCTGCGCTTTCGTTTCTTGTGCTTCTTATGCTTTTTCTTCTTCTTCTCATCGTCGGAACTGGAGCTGGACGAGTCCGAGCTCGTTGACTCCTTCTTCTCATCCACAGCCACCTTCGCGACGCGCCTCTTCTCCGGCGATTTTCCCCTAGATACTTTCTCCTTTTTCTGATCACCCTCGCTCTCAGTTTCCGCGTCGTAATCGGGTACAAAGTTGGCTTCGTCCAGCGGAGTCTTCCTCTTCAGAATCTTCTCGGGATCGATGGTCTTCTGGTCTGATGATTTGGAGTTGCCGGTCAGCAGAGGCTGCGACGTGGAGGACGTCGGTGGTTGCTGCGACTGCGGCGCTTCGTCCTCCTTCCTGTGATGCTTCTTGGGTTTCTCTTTCTTCTGATGTTTCTTGTCCCTTTTCTTCTGCTTCTTTTCATCACTCCTCGATCGGCTACGCTTCCTCTTCTCACGTTTACCGGTGTCGTCGTCCTTGCGCTGCCTGGACCTGGATCGTTCGCGTCTTCGTTCCCTCGACCTGTTTCTCTCCTTCTCCTGTCCTCCTCCTCCTCCGCCGCCACCACGTCTAGACTCACTAGTGCCGCCACTGCCGTGTTCACGTTTAGACTCGTGCTCGCGCCTCTCGTGATCCCTCCTTTCCGTATTCCTGTAATTCCTATGATGCCTATCGCGATCCCGGCTATCGTGATGGGGACGTTCTCGCCTCTTATCATTATCGATTTCGATACGTCTGAGATCTTGGGAGCGTTTCGCGAGTGGACTTAGACTTCTGGACCTGTTGCGATCGTAGTTCTTCTCCACCCTCACGATCCTATCGAGATCGTCGACCTTGCAGCCCAGTCGTTCCTTAACGGACAGACGGATCGGTTTCTGCTGCTCCAGTTCCTGCTTCACCGGCTCCGGTTCTGGATTTTCGCTGAACTCTTCCGGTTTGATCTCCTCCTCCTTCTTTTCCTCCTTTTCGCCGGAATACAATTTCACACGATCCATGCTGATCTTCTTGATTTCGATCGGTCTGATCGCGTTTATCGCTTTCGCGAATATCGCGTTCTCGGCCCGCTTCAGCACCTCGTTTGTCACCTTATTCGCCTTGTCCGATTTGGAGTCGCTGTTCAGTTCGGAGAGGGCGTTGCTCGGTTCGTCGTCCAGCTCCCATTTGGATTTCTCGGGCATCGGTGCGAGCACCTCCTTGTCCAGTTCCGATTTCAGTTCGCCGGTGTATAGTTCAAGAATATCGCCGGACTCTTTGAGCAACTCCGGCGACTTCGGCATCTCCAGTTGCACGGGATGGTCGGGGGAGCGATTTCGGTCGACCGGCGAACGAGATCTCTCGTCGATTTTCCCGTACGACTCGACGATCGTGTTGTCTATACCTTCGGAGAGTATATCGCCGTAGAGATCCGGTTCTTCCTCGGGGAGTTTCGGCGAGTTTTCTCGGGCTTCCGCAGTTTGATGGTGGTCCGCGTTCGCAATTTGATGATGACTCGACGCCGCTTCCTTTAGCTCGACCGGTGGAGCTGGCGAAGAGGATCCGCCGCCCTCCTTGGATGGAAGAGGACTCATTGCTCGCTTTTCCTCTTTGGGTTTCTCTTCCTTCGCATGATGATGCTCATGATGTTGTTTGTTGGAGGAGGATGATTCGTCTTTCGACTTTGATTTGTCCTCCTTCCTGTGCTCGCGTTTCTCCTTCTTATCTCGTTTCTTTTTCTTCTCAGATTCCTTCTTGTCGCGCTTCTTCTTCTTGTCTCTGCTGCGTTTCGATTTCTCGTCATCAGAGTAATCAGCCTTCTTCTTGTCATCTTTCCTCCTCTCCGACAACTCCTCCGCCTTGCTGCTACGATCCTTGTGCTTATGTTTATCCGGACTCTTCATGTGTTCACCATGAGCTCTCTCCTTGTCGCCCCTATCCCTGGATCGCCTGGACGGCGACTTGCTGCTGTGTCTCTTCTCCTCGCGCTTTTCGAACTCTTCCACCACCAATTTCCCCATGCCGTACTTGCTGTCATGATTGTCCCTGTCTATGCTGAATCTATGTTGATGCTGATGCAACTGCTGCTCCTGATTGCCAGCAACTGCAGCCGCCACCGACGGTCTGTTATCGTAGCTGTTGTACCTCTCGTCGTATCTCGATGGCTCCTCACCGGGAGGCAACGGTTGCTCCGTTCCAGGCGGTGCAACATCCTCGTATCTGCTGCGCTGCGACGGGATCTGCTGCTGCATCAGCGACGGAATGTGATCCGACTTGTAACCACCTCCTCCACCACCATACTGCTGCTCCCTCTGCTGCATATACCTACGGACCGAACAAACACACATTCCAAAATTAGTGCACCATCAATTGAAATCGCTGCAAGAATGAAACAAAATAATAAATAAATAAATAAACAGAAAGGAAAAAACAAATATAATCTACTTCGTATTTCCGTTTTGAATTAGGTAGAAAGGTCCCTGCTTTATAACTATGCTAAAATCAAATGAAGTAAAAAGAATTGAAAAATAAAAAAAAAAGAAAACGCTGTTTCGAATGAACGCCCACGGATGGGCGGAGATTCGTTCGAACACGTTACTACCTACAACTTTGCCCTCTCTCTCTCTTTCTTTAAACACACAACTTCTTGCCTCTTCCAATCTCAATCCATGTCGCACAGGTTCTTTCTTTGGACTGCTGATAATGATAATTTGATGATTATTTCGTCGTCGTCGTAGTCGTCGATGATCCAAGAGACACAAACTGTTTAGGAACAAAATGAAAGGAGGATCTCGGAGGGGCAGAATTGTCTACATTTATTCTTTTGCCTCGCCATTATAAAGATTAAATATGAATCTTACACAGTGTTCATCATCATCATATAACAGAGGTTGATAATAATAATAATTTAAAAAAAGAAGCAATCTGATGTTAACAGTAAATAGAGGAAACAAATCTCAATGAAAATTGGCAAAACGTAAAAACCAACAACTTTATTGCCATATGTAATATGCAAGCAATCGATGAGTTAATAAAACAAGAATAAAATCATGTCTTCATCTCGTAATACTTTTTTCTTCTACTTCGTCTTCGTCTATTGTTCACAGCGCTCAAATAATTGCTCGTATCACAATTGCATCACAGATAAGATAGATAATCGTAATATATACAAACATATTTACAAAAACGTATAAATAAACGTAATTAATAAATAATAACATCTATATAAACAAATTCAATAATAATAATATTACATTGAAGAAAGGAGGAAAAGTTAACTCTCCGAACATTGACAAAAATAACAACAATATTACAATATTTTACGTTTTACAATTAATTCGCTACAGTTAATAAATAAGTTGCTTCGGAGAGTTACAAGAACTAACCATCGGTACCACAATTCAAAATGGAAATGATAAACGTTTAATTACAGCAAATTAATTTAAAGAAAAAAACAAATAAAGTAAAATCCTCCCTTTTCTTAATCAAAATAAAAAATTGAATGTGAATAATTATTCACAAACTAAGTTAGTAGGTCTCCATTTGAATATTACAGCTCATATAAAAATGCTAGTAATTTTTAAAATTACTCAAAATAAATAATATATAAATATAGTACCAATCTAAAGTGGAGGAACAATTATATTCTCATTTAGAAATGATCAATTTCAAACCATTCAATAAAATAGTTCTCAACTTTAGTCCGATACTTTATGTACAAGTTTTCATTGCGCTTCTTACTTTGAGAAAGTAAGGAGAGCAAAATTTATAAAATTCCGTCCGCTTAATATTAAACGTGCGGAAGAGAACGCTTTAATAATACTGATAATAATAATCTGTAAAACGTCAAAACATTTATGTTCAAAATACCTGTTTGACGCGGGATGTTGCTGCACGGAAGACTGCGGTCCCGCCTGATGGTAAGCGTTCTGATGGTCCTGTTGATGGTAGTAGGCGGACTCGCGAGGTGCCACCCATTTCGTCGAAGATCCGCCTCCACGACGACCCTTCTCCGCTTCGAAGTTGTCATAGTAGTGGTAATCCTGAGAGGGAGCGGCGCCGCCGCCACTCATACCGCTACCTCCACGGTCCCGACTGTATCCGCGATGCTCTCGTTTTCCGCCATAATCGCCACTTCCGCGATCTCGTTCCCTGTCCCTGTCTCGATCCCTTTCCCTGTCACGATCACGATGATCTCTGTCCCTCTCGTACTCTCGTTCTCGTCTCTCTTCCTTGTAACGGTAACGACTTGAAATTATAAAATAGAACAAAAATAAGAGAACGCATTCGCAAATCTCATAAACTTATCATAGCACAATTGTATTAAAAAAATATATAAAGAAACACCCATAAGCCTGCAAACGTCTCCGTCCGCGTATTGTAAAGGCAGACATACCTCCTGAATGAGATGGCAAATGATCGTATGCGATCATGAGGTATTTTGGATTTACCTGTTGGGTGATCTTTGAGGTGATCGATAGCGAGAGGAGGGACGCCTGCGCGGGGAATAGTCTCTATAGGGTGACGCCCGATTCGCGGGCGAATATGAACGAGACCGTGACCTGCAAACACACACGTTCGTATTAACACCGAGAGTCGCACAAGACGTACAATCGGAACAGTGGGAAGACCAACAGTAAGGGGTACATAAAAACATGCACGTCAGGTCAGGTTCTACAGAGACTACTCCAGGCAGGGCTTAGGGATCATTTCAACTAATTTCAAACTATCTATGGTAAATCGTGTTCAAGTATATGTAATCACCTGCTCATGCTGAACGATTTGGAGCGGCTGCGTCGCCTCGGCGAACGACTCCGCCTTCTGGGCGATCGACTGTAGCTGCGAGACGAGCTGCGGCTGTAGCTCCGCCCCTTTCGCTGTTTGGCACGCCTCTCGCGTTCATCTTTTTCACGAAGCATACGATTGAACGCCTCCAAAGGATCGTCTATTATGCTGCAAGAAGATAACACAAATATTAAAGAAATGGCATGTGGAAGCAGCAAGCGGTTTTTACTTACCCTGGTGGTGTGCGACCACGCATCCCGCGTGGCACATAATCGCGGCCGCGTGACCTGTTCGAGTAGTTCTGATAGTTATGCGGTCCTTGCATAGGCGGTCTAGTAGGATCAAACATTGGACGTTGTTGCACGTTGTACATTCTGTAAATATATAAAAAAAACACAATCATCTGTTATATTCTAAATAAAATTAATCTTTGTTATTCCGTACCCTGGTATAAAGTTTGGTGGAGCACCGGCTCCTGGAGGTGGAAGTCTGAAGTTCGGCGGAGGTCCATGAGGTATGATACCCTGTGCACCGCCGTACTGGGACACCGGTTGCTGCGAGTAATTAGGAGGAGGCACCTAAATCGGTATGTACATTAATATTGCACAGGTATAAGAAACAGTTTGCGATTTCTACCTGTCTTACCTGCATATGATTGATATTGGAGGATATAACGACAGGCGGTGGCGGCGGTCCGGATGGGTACGGCGCATTCGTGGGCGGGTATGTTCTGCTCTCTGCATTATTAGCACCACCCATGCCAGGCTCGTCCACTGTGGGCGTACCAGGCCTTTCCTCGTTGTTCCCAATTGGTTCCGGATAGTTTTGCGGAGATCTATGCGGTTTGTGCGATCTCCTCGGGGATCTCTCGTTCAGAGACTTGGGTCTCACGCTCGCCGTATGCGATCTGTCTCTGGCTTGTTGCGTCGTATTGATGACGATGGGACGTGTCACCGACACTGGGCTCTTCTCCCTAGTCGGTGAAACTCCGGGAGGCAGATCGACCGGCTCCACCTTCTCCTCTGACGGTTCTTTTATTTCTTCCTTGCTTTCTAATCCTTCGGATATCGGAGTCTTCGGAGCCTCCGTGGAATCGGCCTCACTGATCACAGTCTTCTCCGTATTCTCCGCATCCGAGTCCAACTTCTTTGTCTTGACATCGTCCGCAACAGCAGTCACCGAAGGGGCAGTCTCGTTCACAGGTACAGGCTATAAAACAATATACGTGTGTAAAAATTAATTACCAAGATGACCGTTATAATACTCACATCTTTCTTAATGATAGTTGCTGGTTGTTGTTGCTGCTGCTGCTGTTGAAGCATGGCAGGCTTATAAATCTGTCTTTTCACGTAGCCGGTTGTGCTTTTAAAATTAGTGACAGAATTTCTTAGGAACCGATTAGGGATTAGAGTGCCGGGCGAGATTTCCCTTTCGTGGCAGTCCGGGCATTCGTGATCCTCAGACTCCAGGAGAATACCTCTGATGCACTCGTCGCAGAAGCTGTTTCCGCAACAGGGAATCATGACGGCATCCGTTAGCAGATCACTACAGATGGAACAAAGCAGATCCTCGGGAATGTCGGTTTTCTGGACTGGCGGCGGCGCGGGCGCCGGGTTTTGCTTTTGCGTGTACGTCTGATGATCCAATGCCGGCACTGCGTACGAACCGTACGGCGTCATCATCGCGCCTTGGACCTGAGGTCCATCCACCGGTACCATGAAGCTTCTCGGAATGCCGGTACTCTTCTTAATTTCAATTTGTTCCTGAAATCAACAAATTGCAAAGTTAAAACTGCCAAATTGCACATTGCTTCGTCAACGACTTACAGATCCTTGACCCAACGGACAATCCTTGATCCAGTGACCATTCTGATGGCACTTGTAACATCGGTAATTGGGAGGCACCGCACCTACCTGATTTGCACCCCTTATTTTCATGTAACTGAAACAAGATATCAAGATAGTTAGCAATATAATTAATCAGTTGCAATTGAGCTAATTACAAACAGGGCTCAGAACTATAAACAAAACAACAACAAAAATAGAATACACAATATTTATAATAGTAGAAAAGAAAGAAATAAACAACAACGACAACACCAAACATTTGAAGCGCCTAACATCAGCTTTTCATCGCGAATTCTTTACGACGTTTATATCTCATCTCATTGGATTAGAAATATTTTGCAGATTTTGATATTAGGCGCCCCATTTACGTTATAGTAATAATAGTAATGAACTTACTTAGTAATGAACCTCATTTGGTAAGCAAAACAGGACGAAACAATTATGTTTGTTTGTTAAAAAGCAGATATTCAAGTACATATCACATATATATATATATCTATTAAACGAAATGCAAATACTTACTTGCTTGGGTCATAATCCTGGGTGCTCTGAGACATCATAGCCCTGATCTTGTCATCCTCTGAAGCATCCAAACTAGAAAGATCCACAGCCTTGGCAGCGGGTCCACCCTCATCGTTCCTCGGCGTCAGATTTGTGTCATTCCCGTATCCCTCCCAGGTCTTTGACTTACTCTGCACAGCCAGAGGGATCCTGGCAATCAACAGGGATGTGTTCTTGGGTATAAGAGTCTGGTCATCTTCGTACACTGGAAACCAATTGAATTAAGTAGTCAAATAATTGATTCAACGCAACTCAAAACTAACCTTCTTTTGTCTGTGCATTTGTCACTTGCAAATCAAAGTCTGTGTTCTTTCCGATGCGCTTCTGCTGCACAATGGCGTTTTTCAGGTCCTTCACGGAGATATGCAGACCATCAAAGGTGATGGTGTCATATTCCAATGCCGATTTGAACTTGTAGTGAACTGACATTGCACTTATTTAAACCTTAGCGTGGAAGAGAAACATACGATCAAAATAGTTTTGCTTCATTTTCATAAGTGGTTTATGGAAAACAATTGAGAAAGAAACGGAGTGTCTTCATTGGATAATGCAGATTAACTTATTGATTGTAAACAAAACGCAATATTATTAATGGAGGGACGCATAAAATCGATAAGGGGGATGACAATGGTGTATAGGAAACTGCGACGTTTCTTCCTCTCAGTTTCATCGAAATCATTTATTAACATTTGAGAATCCGATTTCGTGTGTGTGGTGTCTGTGTAGAGTTTGCATGCACGAAGGAAAACGGAGATGCAGTTTTCTGTGTGTTTGTGATACGACAATCGAGAGAATTTTGGCCGGAGAACTTACTTAACAAACTACACGAACTGAAGAATAGTTTACTCGCAAATCGCACATTAAAAGCAGTTTCCAAGAGGGTCCGGACCAGCGTTCTCTAATTGCACATCCATCGCTATTATGGAGAAGCCTTCTCTTCTTTTCCACCACTTTTGACGCACGGGTTTGTAGTGGTTACAACAAAAATGGCGTCGCCATACCATCAGCTCTGCCAACATTAAAATAAGACATTCACGATTACAAAACTTTTAAAAATTAAACAAATTTTGAAACTCGTCTTCCCTTTTTTTATTATCATCAGTTAACGTTAAAGTTATTCATTACCATCACTCAAATGTACATTAATTTAAATTTCAATCTTCTTAATTGCTATTGAAATCTAACTAAACATTTCTCAAACATCTAAATCTTAATTAACAAAAAAACAAAAGAATGCATCTAACGTAACGTAACGTAACTTATTGTACAAAGGTTGAGTAGTAAACAAGAAAAACTAACTTCTTGTGTAATTTAAAAATATATTTGATAATTATTCAACGTTAAACAACAATCAAAAAGGCAAAGATTTTCGCAAAACGCACAGTTTTTTTACCGAATTTATAACAAAAAATTCAAATACTAAAATAATATGCAACAACAAAAGTTTATTTTTTTTTTATAAAAAAAAAAGTAGTAATATTGTTTTAGATACACGAAGGGCGTGGGGGGGGGGTTTCAAGTGCAGCTTCAGAAGCTACAGCAGAAAGATAATAAATCGCTTATTACAGTACGCGCGCACACGGAGACACACACATAATTTTCTCTTCATACAGACATATAAAAGATAAATCCATTACATTCGTACGTCGTCAGGAGATTGTTAGTATCATTATAATTATCTTCATTTTTTTTTGTTTTGTACACTTAAGTTAAGACAAAATAATAATAATAAATATATAGTGAGTGAGATTAATAAACGGAAACGGTATGCGGTTTGCGTGTAAGGGGTTTGGGTATAACATAAGAATATACAAGTATTGTACACGTAATGGTATGCGAAGAAAAAGAAAAGAAAGAAAATAATAACGAGAAGAGGAAAAGGAAATATTACAAGTTCGAAAGAAAATGATTGATTCTTTCACAAAAGACGATAGCTTTCCCTTCTTCTCCATCTTTCTTTTCCTTTTCTTTTCATGGGGGAAGGGGGGTTTTAAATAAATAAGTTACTATAAATAATAATCACAATGTAAAAGTTCGTTTTTTTTTTGTTTTCTTCTTCATCTCTCTCGTTGCCTCCAGGTGGTTTTTTTTAATCCTCGGTTTCGTCGAGATTGAGGATCTTCGGTTTGAGAAGGGCGACCCGATGGTAGACGTCCGTCTGGTACTTCGTCTGGATGGCCTGCTGGGGTTTTATCGGCGATTGATTGAAGGTGCGATTCTGCTTGTGGACGACCGGACTCAGCTGCTTCAGCGTGTAACCGCTGGACGCTTCCAGCTTCCTCGGCCACGGATTCCTCTTCGACAGAGTGAATCGGGCCAGAGCTATCGACGCCGACGCCAACTTCGATGGAAGATACTGCAAATAGTCTTCTCCTTCCAAAAGCACCAGCTCACTGAAATACTGTTTTGCAAAACAAACAAATATATGTATAAATTGTAAATTGATCAATCGATGGATCCTCACCATCGCCAAATACATCGTCTCCTTGTCCAGCTTATGGGTGACGCAGAGATGCTGGATGAACGCTAAAGCGGTGGGAGGCTGCAGGTCGAAGTTGAGGACCTTCAGGATGAGCTGCTCCATTTTCAGGACCTGCTGACTAGAGTAGGAGTTTCCGGAGAGGTAGGCCCATTCCTTCGCGTCCGGCGGATACACGTCCTCTATTTTACCGGCCAGCATCATCGCCGCAGAACCGAGCAATTGGAATTTATCCTTCACCTTTAATCATAAAATTAGCAAAAAATCGATACACAAACGATTCGAATGCAAGAAATCCAATATAAACTATATGAATCCGATATGGTCTAGTGGCTAGGATACCTGGCTTTCACCCAGGAGGCTCGGGTTCGATTCCCGGTATCGGAATTACTTTTAAATTTCGCTCAAGACAAACTTAACAAAGTACGTATTATTAAATTTGTTGTTATTAATAACAATAATTCATAAATTAATTATTACTTTAAATCAATAATTTCATTAATTTTAATTATTAATTATTGTTAATAATAATAACCTGACATTGCTAAGTGGTTATATGAAGTGAATTTTAAGGTGCGATGGTGGTGTAATGGTCAGCATAGTTGCCTTCCAAGCAGTTGATCCGGGTTCGATTCCCGGCCATCGCATAAACTTTTAGTTCTTTTACTTAATCAAATTACAAAACAATCGAATTGTATTGACTTACCACTAGCATGTGACTGAGAAATCTGTCGATGTAGTTGATGGTGAGATGAAGCGTTTGATCGCTCATCTTGTACTCTTCGCTGACGGCGACGAGCCAATCCACGAGGACGCTCCTCATGGTGCTGTTGAGATGCTGCTGTTTGACCATGTAATTCGGTTTCGGCCATTTCACAGTGTTCTCCATGTTGATCAGGTAAAGCCAGATATCCTGCAGAAATCATAAGGTGAAAGAAAGGGGAAACATAGTTTTGCATCATTTCGCATACGTTCAGATACTCGAAATGGTATTCGATGTCTGGCACGAAGTTTCCCTTCCTGCAGAGAGCGATCTCCGTCTCCTTCGCCTCCCTTTCGCACTCCGACCTCAGCTTCTTCAAATCGGACTCGAGACTTTCGAAGAGCGCGACCGCCTCCTCGTTTCGTTGATCCTCCTCTTCGTCCTCCTTCTCCTCGACGTAATCGGTTTCGCATCTTACAATCGTCTTACATGGCTTATTTATACACTAACAAAAAAAACATATTAATTCGTTCATTCACTGTGATTGGATTGGATCTGCGCTTACCAAATTCTGTTTCGTGTGGACGACGTTCGAGAGTTTCACTCTTTTCGCATCGTTTTCGTTGAACTGTTTGAGGGCGACCCTGTTCGTCCTCTTCATCGGCTTCTTGTCCGGATGGATCCTCGCACTGGCCTCCGCCATCGCGATCACCTTTCGCACCTTCTTCTCGACGCTATCCGGTCGGATACCGAATGTTGCCATCGTTACAATTGTTATACAACACGCGAAGAGAACGGATAGAGATTTGATCACAACCGAAGACGACGACAAAAATCGACAATAATAAAATATATTATATATACAAGAAAAAAAAAATAATTATCGTCACGGTGCTACGACCGATTGAAAGCGTGCGACCGAAAAACGTGCTTCATCAAACCTCACAGGAAACTGACATCTTTGAAACTGCCAAAAAAAAACCTTGGATCGTTCAAAATGGCAAACGAAAAAACAAACAATAAGCAGCAGGATTTGATCGCAGTTTGTTTTTTTTGTCATTCCTGCTGCGCGTTTTTCGAATTTAGTTTCTTGTTAATCGCACTCGTTGTATTTACATTGGATCGGGAATGTAATATGGATTTTAACGCAAATGCGTATATTCTAACTAAGTTCTCTTTATTCAACGTTTTTACACCCATTTGACGATGTAATAGTTCTTTTTGCCGACTCTCAGAAGCGTCACATCGTTGGTCAGTCTGTGGACGCTGTGGCTCAGAATCTCGTTCGGGTTCTTGGCTCTCTGCTGATTGACTGAGAAACCTCCAGCTGTAATAATCCTCACTGCGTCTTCTGCAATTGAAAAAAACAAACATTTAATAGTAGTTTAAATCATTTGAAAATGTTGATAATCTACGTTTCGATGGGAAACATCCGACTCTCATCGACAATTCCATAACGGTTTCCCTAGCTGACGGCATAATCTCGACGATTTCAGCGCCTTGAAAGAGTGCGGCGATTTCGTTCGTCTTCATGTGACCGAGCGCCTCGATGTTGCCCTCGTAGAGTGCTTTGGAAGCGGCGAGGGCGCTACCGAGGCCATCCTCTCCGTGAACCAGAAGCGTCACCTGCTCCGCCAACCTCTTCTGCGCCATCCTCAGCTCTGGCTTCTCCATGTGCTTCCTCATCAGATCCTCTATGCTACCCGTCGTATCGAACGTAAACAATTTCAGCATCTTCTCCGCATCCGCGTCGGACATTCGCACCCAAAACTGGTACAAATTGAACGGAGACGTCTTCTCCGACGATAGCCAAATAGCGTTACCGGCAGATTTACCGAATTTATCACCCATCTCGGTCGTTATCAAAGGCAACGTTAATCCGAACACTGATTGCTTGCAGGCCTTACTGATCAGCTCATGGCCAGACATGATATTCCCCATTTGATCCCCACCTCCAACCTAAAGCAATACAAGAAAATCAAAATTTTTCACAATTAATTGAAGTAAATTTACCTGAAATCTGCACCCAAATTCTTTGTACAGATGCAACCAATCGTAGGCCTGGAACAGCTGGTAACTGAACTCTGTCAGACTCATCCCAGCAGGAGACTGCAGCCTGCTCTGCACGCTCGTCCGAGACAGCAGCGTGCCCATCCTCAGGAACCTCCCAGCGTCGCCCAGCAACTCCACAGGTGACATCTTGTTGTACCAATCCTCGTTATTAACGACCCTAAACATAAAGAAAACACTTGTCAACAAAAATAAATCCAATTTTAGTGGTAAAACCCAACAACCTAAGATTACCTAATTTCCTATTCAGATTGCCGCAGAAATACTTTTCGTGATTATCAAATATGGCTTGTATGTTCTCCTTGATCCCTACGATATTGTCATCCAGAAAAACGCCATTCAACTTCTCCCTCTCAGTGTTCCGACCGCTCGGATCTCCAATCCTTCCTGTCGCTCCTCCCAACTGCATTTCAAATAATCTAACAATTAATTCAGTTGCGCAGAAAATCATAATTACCAGAGCAAGAACGTTGTGTCCACCGCGTTGCCAATGCAGGAGATTCACCAGAACCAAAAGATTTCCAATATGAAGACTCGAAGCGGTGGGATCAAAGCCTGCATACACCCATTGCGGACTGGAATTTAAAATATCGCGAACCTCTCCACTAAAAAACAATAAATCAACATGAAACTTCTCATTCATAATTACTAAATTAACCTACACTGAATTATCCGGGAAAATGTCCTGCCACATCCCCCTGTCCTTCAGGCTGATTATGTTCCTGCTCGAGTAATATCGATTCAAACATAGCACTCGTTTATTGCTGCACCTCAGTATTGTTTTAATAAACATTTTTTGGATAATTAATATCTCCCTTGTCTCTGTTTTCTTCTCAATAAAAGTAAGGTTAGATTATTATTGGATTATGCAACCAATCTGTCTCCATTTGAAAATTATTCCCGTTGCGTTTCATGCCCTGCCCGAAAAACCATCGGAATCTGACGTTTGTTTTGACGTTAACATCCAATTTGAAAATATAGTGATTATTTGCACGTCGAGTGAAATGTGCGAGAAAGCTGAGGAAAAGAGTGTTTACTCGTTAATCACGCAATTATGCGAATCTTATATGAACGCCAACGACGTGGATGTAACTGACAGGCAAATCAATCGACTGAGGACCACAGCTTATGAGATTCTTCTGTCCAAGAAGATCCCAAAGAAAGGTTGATTCTAATCCAATGATTTTAAAGAATTAATTTACTATACTGATTCAATTTGCAGACTCGATAGTTTGCTTGAACAACAACTCGGATGCTCACAGCCATTTGCTTGCCTGGAAATACATTTTGATATCCGATTACGGTTTGAGGGAGGTGGCTGAATCTCTGGATGCGCACTGGGAGAGTTTGATGTTGGACGACAGGAAGGGAACGTTGGAGAATGTCGTGGAATTCTTGCTGCAGATAAAGCAGTATCCAGACACAAAGATAAGGGTGATTATTTTTTGATTTTGAAGAGTTAAGAAATGCAACAATATTTTTGAAATAATAATTTACAGGATGACGGTGTGAATTTCTTTAAAACTTACACAGAGAGCAGCTTTAAATTGCCACTGGAAGACGATAGATGCAGCGCGAAGTTTTCGAAGGATGACTTTAAGCTGCACAAATTCCAGGCGAGTTTCAAGTTTCTGCAGTGCGCTCGTAAAGAGCAAGAGTATGGAGAGGAGAACGCTGAATTCGTTGAAGGTATTTGCGATATTCTTAAAGAAAAGTTACTTGAAATTGTTGTTTTTTTAGAGGAGGAGAATGTGTGGGATGCTGTTTCCAAGATACAATTCACTGAAAGGAGGACGTGGGAATCGATGGGAGATATTGCACCTGATAAAGAGGCGCAATTCTTGTCCGAGTCCGGTTTGGGCGTTACGTATTTCATGCCGGATCATCCCAAAGTGAGGTCCATCTCGAAATTCCAGTTCATCAAAGACATCAAAAACTTGTTGGGTAAATTTGATTGTTTTTTGTTGATGAGTTGATTTAAGTGTTGTTTTTCCTTTTATTCAAGTTGGAATTACTTCGCACACGTTTGTAACGAACGCTGAAAATATGATCGAGTTGGCTGAGGGTGTGACGGTGGACGGAATCAGTTACAGCGCTTTGAAGTCGTACAGCGAGCAGATGATATTTAGTGGTAGCTGCTACAAAGCTTTAAGCTCGATGGTGGCCGTGAATCCGTACACTTATAAGCAGAAGGGTTTGATCTTTGCGGTGAATATTCTGATTTGGTTGTAGGTGGATTTTTAATTTACGTTTTTTTTTGTTGTTGTTGCAGGAATTGTGCGAAAGCATAAAGCGATTCCTCTCGCATTACCGTTTAGCCGCACTCTCTTTATCAGAATCTAAAGGTTTAATAATGTTGCACGATCATCTGCGGAAGCTTTCGGATCATATCCAGGTGATTTCATCGATTTGCAAGGTTGGGCCGTACGCTGCGAACGAATCGATCCCGCACGGCGTGGCACTACTCAATTATTTGTACTTGAAGTTGCTGGAAATATGCAACAAGAATCTCATGATGGTCCTCTATTCGATATTCTATCCATGCTTGCAAGTGTATTTCTGTTTCTTCTTGAGGGAATGGATCATGGAGGGAAACGTTTCCGACCCAAACCAGGAGTTCTTCGTCGAGCCCAACTACAAGTATTTGTCGACCAGAGGTCGATCCTATTGGACGAAGAGTTTCTCCATCATCGATGCAATCGTACCGGAATTCTTATCCGATCTGAAGATGCAGATTTTGAATTGCGGACGGGCCACGAATCTGTTGAAATTGTGCAAACCGAATGTGCGTTAAGTTCGAATTGATATTGTTTAAATCGGAAATAATTGTTGCGCTTTTTTTAGTCTCCGATTTGCGATTTTGGGAAGAAGGCGAACGTCTTCCAATGCTGCATCACTTCCGAACAATTGAAGCAATTGGAGAAGAACGTCAGCGCTTGTTATCTGGAGGTGATCGCCGAGAATGGGTCGAAGTTCTCCATGAAGAATTACCTGAGACGCTCGAAGGATGAGCAGATTTCGTTTTTGAATTTGATCGCGGCTAAAAGAGCTGTGACGTTGAAACGGATCGAAAGTAATTGGGTGTTTATTGTGGAAGTTCAGGTGTTGTGATGTTTGTGTGTGTGTTTTTGTTGCAGTGGAGAAGTTGAAGAGATACGAGGAAGTGAATGCTAAGAAGCTGGAGCAGATGAAAGTGTTGAGGGAGCAATACGATGAGGCTATGCGTGCGAAGAAGGCGGAACGCGCCGCCGCTTTGGAGCTGGAGATGCAGATGAACGAAGAGATTGCAAAGATGAAGGAGATGGAGGAGAAAATTATCAAGGAGGAAGCGTGAGTGTTTATTGATTCATGACGTGAGATTTTTGTTTATTTTGTTGTTGTTGTTTTTCAGTGAGGAAATGATTAAATATTATGATACGATATTGGAAAAGTCCGATCAGAAACGGAAGCTGATTCAGACGCACATCGACGTGTGGAATAACGTGAATTTCGATGATATTCTGCAGAATAAGGTGGTGCACTTGCCAGTGGTGAGGCAGATGAGCGATGTCGTGACGAACAGGAATAAAATGATGTCGAATTTCGATTTCGACGAAAAGGTTGTTGCGTCTGTGGAAATCGTCGAAAAGGAGTTGAGCGATGCGGCAAGGAATAAGATTAAAGTGATGTCAACGGAGATTGGGCAAGTCGTGGTAGAGGAGGAGAAGAAGAAGTCGGATAAACCGAGAGTGTTGACCGAAGCGCAAAAGAACAAAATTAAAGTTATGGGAACTGAAATCGGGATGAGCGATGGAGATGTTTTGGTGTCCGAGGCTGTCGAGAAGCGGGAGTTGACTGAAGCGCAGAGGAATAAGATAAAGGTGATGAGCGTCGAGATGGGTATCGATTTTGGGACGCAAAAGGTTGAGGAGAAAAATGAAAGTGGAGTGTTGACGGAGGCGGCGAGGAACAAGTTGAAGGTGATGAGCACCGAATTGGGGATCGTCCAGTACGAAGCGGACGTTAAAGCTGAGCCGAAGAAGTCGAAGATTCTCACCGAAGCGCAGAGGATCAAAATGAAAGTGTTGGAGACTGAGTATTACGGACTTGGAAATAACAATATTAACACTTTGCAGCCAATTATCGAAAATACTACGACCGAATATTACGGTTGCGATAACGAGAACTTCGTGAACAAGAACGTGCAGAGCGGCGACGAAATCAATTATATTATTCCGCCGAAGGTCCACAAAATGGATTTGACTCTGAACTTGGAGAAGTTAACGTCGACGAGATTGCAGCAGCCGTCGTTCAAGAGTTACTTGAAGAGTCCGAACTTTGAGTTTCCTCGACCGATGTCCGTCGATTCGACGCCGATGACCGATTTCACCACTCCCATGCAGTCGACGGCTACAGCCTCGGTGATCTTCAGCGAGGACGGATTCAGATTCACCAAAGACTCGAACAACATCAACGAGATATCGAATAGGGTGTCCGAGGACGAAGTGAAGAACATCTCGACGAACTGTCTGAATCGTTTGCTGAAGCAGAGCGTCGCAGTGCCGTTGGTGGCGCAGGCCGATCTCGCGCAAAACGAACTCCTACGACATTTCATCGTCGATCTAAAGTATCTGAAGCATTTGGAGAACTTGCGCAATTACTTCTTCCTGCTGGACGGGGAGTTTGGGAGGAACATCACCGACGGTCTATTCAGTAAGTTGTACTCGGTCAGCTTTCCGCAGGAGCTGATCAACAATTCAACGTTGAAGAGTCTTCTCTTCAACGCTCTCGATTTCACGTCGAAGTCGAACGAGGAATCGGACGGACTTAGCTTTAAAATAAACCACGTGCCTAAGCGGTTAGAGCTGCGGAACGTCTCCGTCTTGGACTGCTTAAGTCTCTATTACAAAGTCGAATGGCCGTTAAATATTCTGTTGCCAAACGATACCATCGCGAAATACGACGAAGTCCTGCAGTTCCTGCTGAAGCTGCACCGCGTCTCCTGGGTCCTCAAGAAGATATTTATGGTAATACCAATTATCCACTACTCATCAATATCTAACAATTACAATTTGCAGGATCTAAAATTGCTGGTCAAAGAGACCGGTCCCAGACGAGGTTTCTTGATATTCTCCCCGCAATACCAGAACCTCGAGCTGGCTCGTCACGTGATGACGCATTTCGTACAAACTCTGCAGAGTTACGTCGTTGGCGAGGTTCTCCAAACCAGCTGGGTTAACTTTGAAGAGGATCTGCTCGGCGTTGAGAATCTGGAGCAACTGTACCTGCTCCATACCAATTACATTAAAAACATTCTATTCATGTAAGTTTCGATTAAGATCAATCGATTTAAATGTATTTAATAACGAATTTTTGCAGGTGCTTCCTGAACCAAAGATTCCTGAAGATCAGGAATTCGATTTACGATATTTTCACTGTGATATTGAAGTTTTACGATTACTTGCGCTCCAGAGATTGGGAGTTCGACGAGTACGTGTACACGCACCCGAATTACGGCAAGCTCGAGGGCATTTTCAACAACTTCCTGGAGTTTATGCAGTTTCTCATCAAGAACTTCAAGAAGGTGTCCAAGGGGTATCATCCCACGCTGCTGCAGCTCGTCGACATGCTCGACCTGAACGAGTACTACTCGAAGAGATTTAGCTAATTTCTGTTGTTATATTATTATTATTTACTTACCCATAAGTATCTACTGATTGATTGATTGATTAATTAAATAATGAGGCTTACAAATATTTTTTTTTTTAATTTAAATTTTGGTTTCTGCAGTTGGTAACAATTGGCGGTGGTCGGTGCATCCGCTGCAACTTCACGGCTCATTACGACCTTGGTATTGTTGTGAAGTTTATGGTGTGTGAATTTTCGCTGGAAAAATTGCATCATATTTAAGGAAATTTCGTGGGGCTTTCGCAGAATTTACTGATTGTGAGTATAGAATTTCGTTTGCATTCGCTAGAGTTCAACGTGTTTCGCGTTTGACCTTTTGTCGTCGTTCACAGAGATTTTCTTGCAAAGAGAAAGAAAGAAAAAAAAAGCTGCTGCTGCTGCTTTGACAGGTGACCTTTAACATTATTATTGTATTGATATTTGGCTCTGAGCGAAAATTGCAACAATAGGGAAAACCGGTGGCCATATTTATTTTCCGATTTTCTTTTATTTCCTTTTGTCACTCTGATCCTGATTGGATTTCCATCTGAATGGTTTTGTTTTTTTTTGTTGAATTAGGATTCCGTGCTGTGAAATGTTTCCAATGCGCCTCAAGATAGGCCCATCGAGGAACAATGAGTGGAGGTGTTGCTTCTGCTTGCATGTCCGTACAGCGACAACCCTGCTGGGAATATGGCACTTGGTATGCATATATACGTTTAGATACAATTAGCAATTCATTGACAATTTGTTCCTAATAATAATGTTTAGATTCTGCATGTGTTGGCGCTGGCCGTTTTGGCTTTGATGATGAGGAACCATCACTACCATCTGGAGAAGGCTGTGTCGGAAGATGTGGATCCAGGTAATTTATTGCCCACTCCATTGAGCAAGATTAAGGATGAAGATAATCCGTATTACTTGCCAACAACTCAAGACGGACACCCCATTCACACATGTAAGCTCTCCTCAGATAAAGCTGGAAAACATTTTCTGTAGTTGGACTAGTTTCACACTTTGAACTACATTTGTTGTTTTCTCATGTGGAGCTGATGTGGACTTGGATCATTTTCGTATTTTTATCGAGCTTTTCGCAAAAATTATTGCAATTATGATTTCTCCTCCTACATACATATTGCATCTTGGTTTCTTATTATTATTATTTTTTCATCTTTTGGTTCCTGTCAGTCTGCATTCCATATGGTTATCAATTCCAACTTGCTGAATTAATATTACGTTTATAAGCTTTCTACATTTTGCCTGAGAAACCCAGTTTATTCATCTACCATTCGCACCGCTCAAGCTTATAATTAAATAATCTAGCTCAAATAAGAAACGTTTTGGATGATGGCTGATTAATAAGTAATTTGCTCAACTGATAATACTAATAATTGGAAGGTAAAGAAGCTGGGGGTCTTGATATATTAATTCATCTATAGATTAGAACTGAAACGTCTGTTGCTAATGTTGACTTTTCGAACGTGTTTAGCCGAGGTGGACATGGGTGCTTTGACGACTGTTTGCACTCTCGCAATAACGCTGCTCCTCGTCTACGGGACTACAAAGGGAAAGGGCTCGCATCTGTTGCCGTTCTTCTGTTTCCAGCTGTTTGATTTCGTCATTACAGCGTAAGTTTCCGTTCACGCTAACCGCAATTCCTGCTCATTACATTGTATTATAATTATATAGTGATTGTTGCTGATTCACTTGATGCCATATACTACACTGGGTGGACACTGCAGCATTGATTAACCATACTAATTGTTTATGTATTTGTAGTTTATCGGTGACCGGTTACTTCTGCTACTTAAGGTCTGTTCACTTCTTCGTGAACGAACACTGGCAGAGCTTGCCCTACCGCAGACAACTGCTCCAGCTGAGTCCCCATTACCTCTCTCTGATCGTCGTCGCCGCCTTCTTCGTGACCATGCTCTGGAAGGTGCTCACCATCCGAAATCTTCCGTCTCCGAATTAGCTTACTGATTTGACAACTGTTTTCAGGCCTACTGCATCAGCATCGTGTGGCGTTGCTACAAGTACCTGACCTACTACCAGCAGACCACCAGGAGCACCGTGCATTACATCATGCCCGTGGATAGAGTTGAGCGCGTCCCGGAGCCGGACTACTCGTCCCTTTTGCCCGATTACGATGCGGCTTGCGCCAGCGCCATGAAGCAGCCGCCACCGCCTTCGTACCAGGCCGCCATGGAAGCAGGAACTTTCCCCGAGTGCGGCATTCACGTCATCAACGTTCCATCTCCGACCGTCGAAGAAGATGCCCAACAGCAGCAGCAGCCGCAGAGCACCGTAGCTAGCTGCACTTGCGAGGTCGCCTACCCCGAACCGATCCCCATCGAAGCCGAGCAAGAACAAGCCGCGACCATCGAGGGAATCACCGTCACCACTCCGATGCCGAACACCGCTGCTGCTGCCGCCGAGGAGTCCAGGGAAGAGATAGAAGTCGTCGTGAAGGAGATCGTCGAGGAGGCCGCGGCTAAAGCCGAGAGCGCCGGACGGAAGGAGTAAGAAGGCGATCATCGAATCCGCAACCCCTCTTCTATATATTTTCTTTAATCGATAATTTTATGCCGCATATTATTATTATTTTTTCCGTAAGTTATTTATTTGTGGAGAGGCACAAAGCAAAGCAAGTCTATTAATTACTATTATTATCGATCGATCGAGTTCTTGTACAAAATATGTTTTGCGCGCGAAGCGGAGGAAATCCAAGCAGATTAATTCACCTCTTCGCATCAGCTTTTTTTGCAATTACAAACTTAATTTTATCCACTACCCGATAAGTTTCAAACATGCGTGCCCTTAGTTAATCTATTCCAAGTATTTTGTTTAACACTTAAGTTTACTTTAAAACTTGGTCGCGAGGTTGAGAACGAGAGAAAGAAAAAGAGAGTTGGCGTTGAACGCGCCAAATATTAATAATTATTTCGATGTGATGGATGAATTCCTCAAAACATTCTCAAATTTTATTTATATATTATTATTTTTTTTTTTAATACGAATTTATTTTTATTTTATGTACGGAAATTGATGGTTTTAATTTGGAATTATTTGTATGCAAGGTCTGTGGCGGATATATCATACTATATATATAGTACCTACATATATATTAAATAATTCATTTATTGTTTATTTTTATTTTAACTTCTTCCTTTTTATTGATTTCTTTTCTTGTTTTAGTGATGTAATCTGGATAGCATAAATGAGCAGCAAATGTAGATGATGGTCGAAGAAGATGAAGATGTTTTAGGTGCACGGAATTCTCTCTATAGCACAAGAATTAGTCAAGAATCATGAAAACGAATATTTCGAGCCAAAAAAATACAAAAAAAATATATATATATATATAAGATAAATTATATTATATACTTAACTGGAAGTGGTCGAGGAGAAGAGATAACACTAATATTTAGATACATTACATATTAAGAAAAAAATATAATTGAATGTTATTACGTTTACACTTGATTGTGTATGAATCGATAGAAGAGAACTAAAGATTATTGCTGAAACACATTGATCGAATCGAATGGCGATGCGAACTATTATGCACTTACTATTCGCTCTATATGGTAAATAATTTTTATGAAATCGCATGTTAAATTAATTGAAGATGCGCACGAGATTGTTCGCTTCCGAATGCTCCGATTTGTGTAAAGCTAAAACTGCGTCACGACTGTGTGGAGTCGAGTTGCAGTTTTTCTTTGTTAACTCGCGATGAATCCGACGTTCGTTTCCCCCCCATGAATTAAACGGCAATTCGAGCCGGGAACGTTGGATTCAAACTGCGTTTGTTTCAATTTGGTAGACGCGATTAAAACACTTTGCATCCAAAGAAATTTGGATTCGAACTGTTTTCTTCATCGGGCGTTGGAAAATCTGTTCATTCTGTGCGCGTTTGTATCGTTAGAGAGAGAGAGGATGAAGTTAAGTGTGCAACCAAAGAGAGTAGGAAAAAAAAAAGAAGGAAAATGCTGTAATGAAATCTCGTCATATCACCCCAAACTCGGCAATAACGATGGAAACTACAGGGTATATAAAATGATCTTTTTTCGAGTCGTGTTCGAGAGTCGAGCGCGACCTTTAACTTGTTGTTAATATGATGATGATGATGATTAAGTAAGAGAATGTTGATCGAGCGATGATTTCGGATTTCGTTCACTTGACAAGTATAGTTTCGTTGAACTGATGATGATGATGGATATATTTTTTTAGATTGAATTGGATGATGATGATAAAGTATAGTTTCTGCGCAGATTCACAATGTCGTGCTGAATCGTGTGATTTGACGATTTTTGCAAATTGAGTAAAGATTGAAGGAGAACAAATCTTTGGTGCCGATTTATATTTGTAATTTAATAATAATAATAGAGTAATTCCAACAAAAAAAAAATATATGTACTTAGGAAATTTTTTGCATGCGTCTAAACTACTATTACTACTACTAAACTATTACTAATTACTACTTAAGTCGGTGTAATTAATTAAGTTTAATATCATCACCCAATATTATTAACGTGGAGGAATTGCTGTGATCCAGCAAGCGTCGTTACTAATCCAGAAGAAGAAGCAGTGATTATACAGAGAAAAAGTCCCGTTTCTAGTGTACACATCCCACATATTATATATATTTTACATATACAAGACATAAAAACAAAGAAATTATTAACGAAATACTCTATTTTCTGATAGCGTTTTTTAAATATCGTTTTCGCTTAGGACAATGTTTCCTCTACTTTCCACGTCATTCCGTTTTTCTTCCGTTCGGTTTTCTTTTTTCTCCATTGTTACACGATTAAACTAAATTATTATTATTATTGTCATGTCTTGACTTGTTCTGATTGGAGGTCGGATCAGAAAGGTCAATCTTCCAATGAGAAAGATTATGTGAAAAGGAGGAGGAGCTACCTGATGATGGTCCGCCCTTCAAGAGAACAAAACAAAAGTCCGACATTTTACTATATCCTAAAACTAAATATATATATATACATATAAGAAAATTATATATTGTATAATCATGTGTATTTATGCTGAGTATTGAAATAAAGGATATCTGTTGAGCATTGAAAAAGCACACCGAACGCGTTTTACTAATACTTTTGTCTTGTTGATACTTGTAATTATCAGCAGAAAGGTAAGTGTTTTGTTCATATTGTGCAAATAAAGTTGCATAATTGGAGTAGAAGGACAGGAGGAATAATATTAATAGCATTTGTAATTAAAAATATAATTTTAGATAATTAACTGGGGAAACGAAATTACAGATGACGATAATGAGTAACAATAATAATTATAATAGGTTTACTTTATTTAGAATACGTGTAGTCTTTAATTCTTTTTTTTTTGCATACGTAAAATTACTATTATTATATTATAATATATATATATAAGGCACTTTGATTAATGATTTAGGTATCTTCGATCTACTGTACATCTAGCAAAAATCTACTTAACGCTTAAGTTATTTATAAATAAATTAAATTACTAGTAATACAAATACGCTCGATTAGTTTTGTTCAATTTGTTTAGTGAGTGTAAACTTTTTTTGTTGTTGTTGTAGAAACTATGTACATTGTTCTATAATTAGATTTTTGTTTTTGAATTGTGATATTATGCGTGGCAGTTATCTGTTTATGGTGTATTGATTATGTAATTTTGTAAATTGCGCATTATTTCCTGGGGTAATTCCTTACTTCGATGACAACCGGGCTGACGCTACCGTAGCGTTCGTTGTCGTAGTACCGTTGATTGCTGGTAGTAGTGATGGACGGTGGTTGACTGAAGTGGTGGCTCTTTGTCACCGATCTGGTCTCGGAGGATTCGATTGTCTCGAGGCCGCGACCATCCTTGGAGGGCAGAGTCTTCTTGGAGAAGCTCTTGACGGTGTTGGTGACGCTCGGACGGTGCGGGTCGTCGCTCCTGGAGGTGGTGTGGTAGGTCTCGGAGTAGTTGTCGCTGGAGTTGCTGCCGCGTCGCAGGTAGTGGTTCGTGGGCGGAGGAGGAACGTCGCGACTCAACCTGGTGGGCGGCTCGTACATGTCGTAACGGGACGATCCTCCCTGCGACGTCTTCAATATGGATCGAGTCGCCTGGCCGTCATCCTCGTGCTCGTGCAGAGTCTTGAAGAGCTCCGGCGCGCGACTCTTCAGATCCTTCATGAAGATGCGCTTGCTGTTCTCCGTCGAGGCGGTGACGTGGTGCTGATGGTCACTGGTGCCGTTTCTCGCGAAACGGGCAGTGCCCGCTTGTCCTTGATGTTGCTGATGATGATGATGATGTCCTCCATCCTCCGGATCGCGCAACTCGCGCTGACTTCTGCTCAGGCTGGAGATCAGTCCGGGACTCTTGAGGCCAAGAAGTGCGGGCTCCTTGGGTCGCGACGCTCCGACACCGGTCAGATGAGGATTCGACTTGTACATACCTGCCTTTTCGGCGAGTCCTTGGACGTTGAAGCTCTGACTGCGCGAGAGGTTCCTGTAGGTGCGGGCCGGTTTCGCCGGGGGCACAGCGCTGTTCTGTCTGGTGTTCACTGTGTTGATGATGGACACGTTGATGGTGCTGCTGGAGCGATCGCTCTTCTCCAATCTCGTCGGTTGCTCGTGCCTGTTGTTGTTGTTGCTATTGTTGTTGCTGTGTCTGGGCAGCGTCTGCGAGGCTCTCGCTGGCGGTGGTTCGCTCTGAAGTCTCGGCGTCGACTTGCTGAATCGTCCGAGCGTACTCTGAGACCTGAAACACGGAATCGCTTGCTTTTTACCTCCGACATTACGCATATTTGGTCCTCTTCCTTCACCTCGACTCAGCCCCCACGACACGCGCGCGCGACATTCACACAAACACCGCTTTCTTCCTAATCGGCAAAATCATGCAAACGATCCAGTGGGCAGCTGCCATCAACTAAGGTGACAATTGCGCAACGATCGAAGCCTTGAACGCTGATACATTTTCTTTATTTATTTATTTTTTTTTGCAATAAAAACCTTCCAAAACTTTCCTGACTCACGAAACCCTCCTTCTACGGACATTCAACTACATCACTGTTTTCTATTCAAACTGCAGCTCATTCCCTACATTACCACAAACAATCTACAAAAGCTCTAAGCTACAAACATTGAAATAAACAAACAATGCAACAACACATAACTTAAGTTTTATGAACGCATTAATTAAATTACGACTTACTTAATTTGCACTTATCTCCCAAGCAGACTACAAACATTGATTGCCTTACTTAACAAATATTACCGAAACTTATTATTTCCATTAAATAAGCAATAATTACGTATCTTTCTTCTAAAAAAAAACACATATTGAAAGAAGAACAATTGTTTTCAAATTTAAAAAACAATAACTAGATCACATCATTTCTGATCAGTGACATAAGACTAACGTAAGTGGAAACGTCATTTAATTATGTAATTTTTAAATTTAAATTATAAGTTTACTAAATGATAAATAATACTTTTATTGTTTAAATTATAGAAGGCTAATACTAAAATAATGACAATATAAAAGTCATTGTTTTCGAACACTTGACAACTGACAAAGGTATGTTTCGTTAAGCAATTTAATGATAATGATTTATAATATTTTCGAATAAAGGCGGCTCAATTAAAGATGACCAAAGAGGTATATGTTTAATCGATTTAATGTATTCAAAACTCATATGCTAATTTCATTGTAAAACGTTATTTTTGTTCCTTCGTCCTTCTCATAGCCAACTAACAACAAACAAACAAAACAAAACAACGTCTGCCTCCAAATATGGTGTGCGCGGAACACCCGAAATTCCTTTACTCGGATCATAATTGCTTTATTTATTTATTTATTTACTCTCTTCTCAACATTCCTCTCTCTATCTCTCGACATGTTCAACCTCAATTCCAAATGCAAATTCGCGGAATCTGGGTACGTATGAGACGCGTCGCACCGAGTATGGGAATATCGCACACCGCGTTCTTTTCTCTTTCTCATTTTGCATGGCCTACTGAAACGACGCAGAGACCTTCAGCGAAAAAAAAAAATACTCTCAATGCGAATAGATTTGCAGTTAGAAAAGATTATCCATTCAAACGCAAACTTCGTTCTCATTCCATAAACAGAAGTCCACTTAGATAGATAAATTAGTGTAATTGGAAATAATCAACATAATTTTGCTGTTAATAAAAGTTTTGGTTACCATAGTTTCCAACAATAATTTGAATGATGTACAGAGGTAATCGGGTTGTCATGACAACTTTACATGGCCTGAGGCGATTTACAGAACTTTCTACAACATGCCAAAATCGATGCGGATATAACAGACGAGAGAAATTGCGTCGAGTTAATAAATAAAAATTGTGCGTACCAAAAAAGAAGAAACGTGCAAATGTTAAATATTTCACAATTTAAATCTGAAATTGTAAATTTGCTTTTCATTAATTGTAACATTATAAAATTTCATTAACTAAAACTAAAACAAGAAGCTGCTGTACAAGAATTTCAAAAATTTTGATCAAAGAAAAAGGTGCCATGAATCGTGCGAGAGATAGAGGAGGTGCGTGTCTGTGCGTGTGAGAGAAAGACGTGAATTTGAAAAGTAACGTAAATATTATTACAGAAAGGAATTTGCTTTAAGTTAACAACTAAATAAAAAATACATACCTACGAAAAATTGCAAAATTCGCTCGGAATATTTGTTTGAATGATTATTGTGAATATGCAAAAAACAAACAGATAAACACAAGTAAAAAAGTATACAAATAAATAGATTTGTTAATTAAGATTAATTAATCGAATTAGATTATAGAAATTTATATATTTATACAAAAAAAAAACATGAAAAACAAATGGTTTTATTGATGGTCATTGGCACTACAATTAATCTACAATTAAATTAAGATAACATGGGTACAATTTGTTTAATTCCTATCTATATATACTTGTAAACATTTATATTTACGTTTGTTTTGGTTAAATTTCAAGCGCTAAATTTAATTATATAAGAAGGAGGGAAAATCACAAATTTGTTAATTAATATTTGCATTGTTTTTGGATCGCGAAACCTTCTTCGTCGTTCGTTGTTCTTTTGTTCTTCGGAGCGAAGAAACGCGTGGGACGGAGACGACGAAGGTTAAACGATTCGACGAATTAGGTATGCAGCAGCATTAAAACAATAAAGTGTATATTATTTATGAGTATTTATGATTATATATATATATATGATGTTGGAGCACTCGGGTAATAGTTGTTCTCTCCCGCTATGCGAATGATTTCTACGCAACAAAAACTACAGCAGCTCGAAAAGCCCGACTCCAATAATTAAAAAAAAAACGATAACAGCACACTACGCACTACTCTTTTGCGAGATGATTTCTTTTGTATGTTTACCTTTCTTCCTGGTACTCGGTCCTGATCGCAGGTTTCCTGCTGGAAGTCCTCGTCGGTCGCACCCCGTCGTACTTGTTCTCGCGTCCGTAGATGCTTCCAGCGAACGGATCCTCTCCCAGGTAGTACCTCTGCACAGGTCGTTCCATCGTGCTGCCACCGCCGCCGTTCTGCTGCTGCTGTTGATGTTGCTGATGATGGTGATGATGATCCGATGAACCTCTTGCAGCTCCGCCGTTCGTCGTCGCAATATCTCTGTCGATCTGGTGACCCGCTTGGTACGACGGTGGACTCGGACTGCGTTTCGCTCTTTGGCGAGCTTTCCTCTCAGCACTCGCTGACCGAATCTTTCCTACCAGCTTCCTTATCGACTGACCTGAAACCCAAAGCGAAATTACAATCATCTCCCATCTCAACAGAACAACAAAAAAAAAGTCAACACTTGACACATCAACAATTCTTTGTTAAAGAAATCGCATTCCTCGAATTAATTATACAACTTTTCAGAAATAAGAATCTGCAGCTGTATATATATTTTTTTATATATATAAACGTAATTATAATTACAAGAACTTCAGTTTGAAAGTGAAAAAATCGATTTAAATTTGTAACATTTGAAAATCTAGTCACTTATGTGCTAATCCATTTGACATATGAGTTGAAAGTGGGGTTAATTACATTTGATTGAAAATACTTATGTAATATATTTAAAATTCTATGGAAAAACTAAATATAAATCTTACCACGAGAATCGTCAGTCTACACACTCGCTTTTTGCACACTTGAAGCACTCGCAATTATTGCACAAATACGTAAAAATACCATCAGAACGAAGCAACAAACGATGATGATGTTGATTTGTGTTATGTTTGTTTGTTATAGACGCTCCTCGATTTTTTTTTTGCCCACGGCAATCGTGATCCACTTAGTGATGCATGCATAACTAACATTTAATCCTTTCTAAAAAAACACATATCGAATCCTCTCGTTTTATTGCGTATTAATAAAAAAAAAATATTTCGCGGAATTTTGTATTCGCGTAATCGCTTTTAAAGAAAAGTGAGCTAAGTAAATTCTTGGCAACGGTTAATTCTACGGATGTAAATTTATAATTCCGCTTCAATATTTGCAAACCTCGAGTCGCGAAGACCTCGCGACAAGTGTTCGCTTCGTTTAAGTGCGAACGCGAAGACAACAACAGCAATAATAATAAAAATATGTGTAAGAAAATTGTTGTTTTTTGTTTTGTTGTTTCAAGGCCGCCTCCGGTTTGCATGTTTAAATGTAAACGGTTTATCGAGTTTCATTAGAAAGTCCGTTTTCCGATCGATCGAGTCCATCTCCAGGTTTTCTTCGAGATCGAGTCTTTTAACTTTTACACGTTTCAAGTTCGAGAAATCTTCATGAAATTTTGAAAGTAAAAATTTTTGATTTATCTGATCCCTTGTACATTTTGTCATTCTCTTTCATCGTCTTTAGATTATTTGTAGTATGAGAAATCTCAAGAAATGTTAATAAGAAAATGACTTTGTCGTTCTTAAAGTGGAAGAGAAATGTGTACTCATAAATATGGAAATGCGATTTCAAAAATAATAAAGAAACCGAGAAAAAACTGGGAAATAGAAGAAAGAAACAAAAAAGCGTATGCAGTGTTAAGTATTCCAGTGGCGTGCGTTCTCGGGTATTTTCAGAAGAACTCATCGGGTATTCGTGTCGCGCGAAGAACACATGTAGTAAAGTCATTTCGATTCAATGTCCGTCCATTTTCGAGTGTGCGCTTCTTCGAGCCACCTTCTTTTGTTTTCCAACATCAGAAATCAAATTGCATTCATCCTCGATGATGTGTTAAACTGAGATTGAGATAATCAAGAGACAGATCAAGAAGAGAGAGAGAGATAGAGAGAGATCACCTTGATTTGTCTGGAAATCTTATTGTAAACTTGGGTTTCCCTTAATTGGGATATATAATGCGGACGCTCTTAATTACACGACCTTCTCGACGATGAATTCGCTAAATGATCTTAACGGTTGCTATTATATAGCACTTAATAACAATCTAGTCCATTAGGATTAATTGTCGAGTCGCTGTACTTTTGTTTTTGGCTGCTTTTCAATTGTTTCAATCTTTCAATTATTCTTTTCATTATACCAACTTTTTAAATGTGACCAATGAGGTTTTTGTCGATTTTCAATTGTTTCAATTATTCTTGTTTTCTGCTCAAATGCAGATGTTTCTCCGTGACGTTTTGATTTTTCAAAGGCAACTTACCGATGATGTTTCCCGTTTTCTGCTTGACAGCAGGCGTTGCCTCCTTGACGTTCGTCTCTCTGGGAACGGCGTCCGCAGCGAATCTCGTCTTCTGATGGACTTTCTTCTCGTGGTGAAGAATCGGCGGCGGAGTTGGTGGACTGTAGTCTGGTGGTGGTTCCTCCAGAGGTTCGTCGCGTCCTTCCGTCCTCGACGGAGTTCTGTAACCGCTGTCGTACCTTCAACAAAAAAAAAAAAGAAAATATTTTTTAAGATTCTTTACATATTTACTTCTAATTAACATTTATTGAAGACAATGCGTATTGACATTAAATCCAAGAAATATGCAGTTTAATTTCAAGCAATTATAGAAGATATTTCTATGAAAATTGTGAAGCTTTATAAGATTCTTTACATATTAAGTTTTTATATTATTTTCTGCGTAATTAAAAAGTAATGTTACCTGCTTTCTTGTGAGGCTCTTTGTCGCCTCTCTGAGATGCGTTTCCTCTGCGGCGGTGTCGGAGTCTGTTCTCTGGTCGGCGTTCTCGATCTGTAATCGGGCACCGGCGATGGTTTCCTGTACTCTCTGTTCTGTCCAGGAGAATATCTCTTCCTTTCCGACCATTCGCTCACTCCTTTGAAGTATCCTCCTCCGCCAACTCCACCACTTACACCTCCGCCTCCACCACCTCCAGCACCATCACGTTCCGGCTCGTAACTCCTCTCAGCCTCGTAATTCCTCTCGTAACTACGATCCACGTTGTCGTAAGTCCTCTCCTGCTCGTAACTCCTTGTCGCGTTCGTGCCCTCCTTCGATTTGATTGTAACGTTGAAGAAGGACGTTTTCGGCGGATTCCCCGCATCGTCATCATCTACAGAGTCTTTCGACGATCTCGATTCGCTTCCGAAATGATTCTCCAACCATTTGGACGTCTCGACGCGACGCGTCTCCTCCTCCTGATCGAAATCCAAGGGCCTCTTCGTCAATGCATCTTTACGCTCCATCGGACTTCCACCTAATACAATAAAATCGATTAACTATATATTATATAAATTTGTTAAATTCAAATTTCGTACCTCTGTAACGCAAGACTTGTCGTTGATTGGCCCTCCTCCTCGCCCTCGCTGAAAGCGAGTCCCAATCGGGATCGTCCAAACCGTCGCCTTTCCTTTCTCCTTCAGCCGTCTCAGCTTTGAACCTCATCTCGTGCGCGATGTGCTCACCATCAGCATAATAGTCGACTTCCTCCTGCTCTCGCGCCTTGAAATACCTAAAATTTGAATCAATATTAAGATTAAATACAATTTCTTAATGCTGATTTTACCTTTGCGAGGATTCCTTGTGCGTGTTCACTTCAGGCGCATCTTCTGGCAATTCCTTATCGTCTAACTCTTCGTGCTCGGTCGTCCTCTGCGTCTCGGTGACGATCTTTCCGTCCTCTCGCACCGAGCTCAACTCTCGAGTCTCTTCTGTGTCTGTGACTTTGTTCGTTTTTATCGTATCCCTGACCACTCTGGGACCAGTCGATACGAGTGTCCCGCCGGCAGCTTCCCTCGTCCTCAGCACCTTCCGCAGATCGCCGTGTCCGCTCTGAACGGCCGACAAGAAATCCTGCGAAAACGAAGACAGACTTTAGTTTTGCAAAGATCCTCTCGATTCTCTCGCTAATTACTGTCCACGGCTATGCGAATCTGTTTATCTGAATGTGTGTGTGTGTCTTTGGTTTTATTGGAAACTGGTTTGGTAGGCGCAAGAAGGTAAGCAAGCGGGCGTTCGGTCGACGACGGCGAAGAGAAGAAGTGGTTTAATTTCCGAGCCGAGAGCAATGAAAGTGAACTAGCCCTAGGTCCAACTACCTAGCCAAGAGAGCAAGTTTCTTTGCTCTCGCCTCTCCTTCGTCTCTTGTAGCACGCGCTCCATAGAAACCGAAACTCGCATTCTACACACACACACACTATGTTCTTTATTTTTTTAGTGTGTGTCTGCACAATTTCGAATCGGAAAAAGCCTTCTCTTTTCGGTGACTTCATCATCAACCATTGCGCAACCATCGAAACAACAACAACATCTTCTGCACAACTTACGTCCAAAGATTACGACTTATTAAAGAATTATTGTTTATCAAATTGAAACTGTTGAAAACTTGTTCGAAAATAAGGTCATCATCATCATATCTGATACATCGCGAACGATGTCAGTGTTTACTGAACAATGATGATGATACTTCTTCCCTCCTGTGTCCGTCCGTTACGGTAATCGGAGGAGGAAGAAGCAGCACCATAATCTCCAATCGGCTGTGGGAAAATCTTCGCTCCGTCGTGCGTTATATCCTCTCAATCTGAGCGGTCTTCCAAAAATTACCCGTAGAAAATCTAGAAGTCGTTTTCGAAATTGACACACTAACAAAAGAAAGAGAGACAATTGAAGACCTCTGAACCGAATTGAAAAAAAAAAGCACACTTCTTTATTTTTGTGTGTGTGACCTTAAAACCACGAATACATGAATACCATTTAAATGCTACAACGAAAAATCATAAATATTGCATTTATGTAAAACAATCTTCTCGAATTGATGCGATCTTTCCACAATTCGTCGAGCAAATTGAATTAGAGCGCAAGATTCAATTGTAAATGCATTTTTAACTTCAAAAATCAATCTACCAAAGTATGTTTAACACATTGACGACGGCATGACCCACCGGTGGGTCATTAATTATAAATAATAGTTTTGTTGCTATGTACGCCACTGATTTTGACTGAGAATAACCTCAAATATCTTAAGTCAATTACAAACTTCAAACGCCAATACATTTCTTATACATATTTTAATAATTCTTGAAGCAATTTAAAATAATACGTGATATTATGACATAATTTAGGCATACTTTACAAATTAACTTGCGAAGCATATTTTTCCCAAAATTGTTATAAATTGCTTCAATATCATTAAAAAAAATGTATAAGAAAAATTTAAACGTTTAAAGGTTATAATTGACGTAAGATATTTGACTTTTCACTCAGTCCATAGGCGTCCACGAAAAAATTTCTGGGGGCAGACAACCCGAAAAGCGTCCTTAACGTGTTAATGTTAAATTAATCAAACGACATCATTACCATGGCAACCAACCATTTCTATCGTTCAAGGCAATTCAGATCTTGTTAACATCGTTAAAATTTAACGAGCGTTATTTTATTTGTTGTCTTTTAACGTTTTGGAGCGTAAAAGCGCTTTGGGAAGAAAGTGCGAAAACGCGAGACGCTTTAATTAAAAGGGAGCGTCCGTTCTTCCAGCAAACTCAAAACAAAAACAAAATCAAGCCATCTCGAAGCAAATACGTGCAGTCATCACTGGATGTGCTCTACTGATTCCATCGAGTCATCGAGGAATTCCCACATCTGCACTTGCACAAGCCTTCCTATCAGAACGTTTCCATAGAAACAAAACAAAATTAAGTTGAAGGTTCCATTTTTTTTTTGAAACAGACAAACCTATAAAGTTTCCATAGCAACTAAAATTTCAAAAGATAACAAATTAAATTGAAAATTTTAAAGTTCCCATAGAAACTAAACAACATTGAAATTGTTAAATCACAACTTGCAAACATTCGTTCGTTTCGGATCGGATCGAATAATTGCCGCATGATTCATAGGTGAAATGATATTTGAATAAATCTCCTCCACCTGATCCGCGAGTATCCTTATTACAGGTGCGACCTTTGCGCAAAGAAGGTGGAGGAGAGAAGAAACACATCAATCCCGAGTGAAAGTCCGAATCACGATGAATAAACGCAAATTCGTTTCTGATCGTCGCCAAAAATCAATTGGAATTGCGTAAGCGGGATGGAATTTTTTTTTGCGTGGATGGAAAGGAATGAAAGAAAGGAGCAATACGAAAATGTGTTCGATTTATCGACTTTCTCGACTCGAACATGAAAAACGAGGAAACAAATATTATTCAATACATATGCAAAGAAACGAGACGCACGCGTATTGAATTGAGTTTACTTGAGATTGCGATATGAAAATATTGCGGATAGAATTACATAAATTTATTGCAAACAAGAATAATTCAATACATGCTGAACAAAAAAAAAAGTTCTATATCCTTGTCTGAGTCACTAACTAACATTTAATATGGTTAACTAAATGGTTTCTATATGTTAATTTTTTCGCCAGTTTAACGAATAATTTCGATAATCCTTTTTGTTCTACCAAAATCTCTCTACATTTCCATTTTTAAAAAACATTTGAATATTTACTGAACTAGGATGTAGATTTTAAACTATAAAATCTAAATTTGAAAAAAAAATAATAGTTATTAGTAACATAATCACGTAACGTAAACAAAACAAACAAGTATCTTAGGTAACTATGGTTTCGAATGTTGGTGAAAGAAACAAAAAAAAAAATGAATCTAGATTAGCACTTTCTTTGTGGCCAACTAGAAATTACGAAAGGCCAATTAATTTCTGAACCGGTCGATTATTTCACACGAAATTTCTTTATCAAATCACGTAACGAAACTATTTATTAATACTGTCCTTGCATAACTTGCTACAAAAAAAAGAAATAAACATTTGCAATTAACAAATATATCGTTTCTAATAGTGACGTGTCGTTTTTCTCTCTCTTCTATTCGATCACGGATTTCGGATGGATCGCTTAAAATAATTGAATGTCACTGAATAAATTTATTTCTATAAAAAAAAGAACAAAACAACATTCACATAAATTACGATTTGTCTTGTACCAACAATCAACTTTTCCAAAAAATTGCAGAAAGTAGGAAAAGGTCAAAGTCAACAATGAAACTTGGATATTCATAATTAAACGAAGATGTTTCTAAACGTAACGTACATTTCATTAATATTTAATTAGAGTCAAGGCCAGACCAGATGATTAAACAATTTTAATTATCGCATCCTTACACAAGAAAAAAAAACATTTTTAATTACGCAAAGTGTGTGTTAATAAATTCGAGCACGAAATGTTACAAAAATCTAAAAAGTAATTAAGAAATTAATCATTAATTTTTGTTAAATTTTCATTGTTTTATCATTTGACAATTTAAATGTCAAATACGATAATGACCAACAGAAGAAAAAAATAATTATTTTCCTTTTGTTTGACAATTTAAATGTCATCGCAAATGTCAAACACGCTAAGTTCATACAACCATACAAATAACAATTATTTTTCAATTAATTGGAAATATTAAGTACAATCATTTGAGAGAAAAGTAATAATTCATTAGTATATAGAAAATGTCAATAATATTCTTATAACCATAAGCGGTGTCCATTTTGTGATTTGCACAATTGACTTCAAACTGACAAAACAAAAGTTTGTCGTTACTTTTTGTTTTATGCATGGATTACAAGATAACGAATTGTAATTATGCTGTTAGTTAGTTATATGAAGATAATCTTTAGTATTTTGATGTGTATCAATATAATTAGGATTTTGGCATTAACGCAACGTCGTTTTGTAACGATGATGATGAGGACTGCAAGTAAAATTGCAAGTTTTCTCTTGGAAAAAAAAATGTTAGCAATTAGAGTAAATATGTGACTTCCCTTTTCGTGATGGTGCATAATTGAAACGCACTTATTACGTGTACCTGTTTTCTGTCACGGTCTGAAGAAGAAGCAAAGCAAAAGCAAAGTCCCTTTTTCTTTTTTGTATCGTTTGCTAATTGTGTAACGTTTAAAATGGAAATATGTAATTTAAATATTTGAATTGATGAAAAAAAAAAGATTGGTGATGTAGTGTTAATACCTTTCAAAGAGACTTTTAATCCGTAAACACTTGAAGGGATGAGCACTTGAGTAATATTAAACACTTTTGTTTTTCCTCTTTTGGATCGTCTGTGTATGTTGTTGCTAAGTTACGGTATTGTTTTCGTTTCTATGTCTTTTTGGTTGACGTGCGTTAAAAAGGGGTGCACAATAAGCACCGAAAGAAACATTACACACAGAGGATGATCGTCGAAGCAAACACTCGCGTAAATTGAGAAAAGAAAAGTCGCGCGCGCGAGTCTGGTGTTCGTGCGCGGATGGATGGGTTCGTGCGAAGGCAGTCCTTGGACTGTGTTTTGTTGCATGAGGTCGAAGCCAAAGAGCTCCTCTACCAACGTCAAGAAAGACAGAGAGAGAGAGAGAGGCGGCTGCGGCGGTTTGACGGGTTTGTGTCTTCCCCGCACCTTGCACGATCACTTAGCCCATCGTACCAAACCATAGCAACCATCACCAACGATACCAAACAACAACCATCATCATCATCATCATCATTTACACAGAAGAACGGAATCCGCGCGGAGTAATGAGACACATTAAATTTGTCTCTCCGCTTCTCCATGGAAACTTCTGAAAACGCAATCGTTGTTTGTATTTCAAGTATTTGGTAACGTTAGCAACATCCTTAATTGATTTACATTAATCCGGTATTGATTATAGATTATCTATCTAAACGATAAACTATTCCTTAATTAAAAGCCCGTCTCCTCTTTTGATACCATCGAATGTAACCGCGTTAATTATCGATACGATCTTCTGAAAGTCTTCTGTGCGCAAAATGCAGAGTACATAACGAATTAATTTGCAAATCGATCGATTTATAAATGAATCTAATTTTCAAATCCATCAACTCTTCTTTTGGAAAACTGTCAGCATCGTTGTATAGGTATAGATTGACAGAACTACATTGCTAATCCGAAGCTGACACACTTTCAATGTTTCCTTTATTCATCATCTATGCTGCAAACGTCGTCGCTTATATAGAAATTAGTTATTAGCATCGAGGCTGTCTGCGGACGTTTCATTGGGTCAAATCTGCAAATCGGATTACCTTTAATTCTGAAACATTATCAATTTGCTTAATAGATGTTATGTACTTATTTTATAATAAATATCAAGTTGGTTCTGCATAGCTAATGAATCTAAGCATCCTCGATGTTTCGATGCAGAGAGAAGAAGTTCTATTGTTTCGTGTAGAAACAACGTTTTGCATCGGTAAGGTCCCAGAAGATTTCGGTATAAATTAGCATAAATAAATGAAGATTAGGTGGACACGATCTTGGATATTCTCGCTACTTATGTAATGCAACACGGGCAATGTATGCAGCACGCAGAGAGGAGAGGAGATACCGATCTGCGAATTCCTCCTTCTCAAGAATCTGAGCTGAGCGTGTTTCGGCTTAATAATAATAAACATTCGGGCGTTGCATCTTCTCTCTCTTCCTCATCTCATCTCCTCTCCACACCCCACAACGAAGAGCAAAAGATAATGTCTGTTTAATCCCGAGTTAACCTTTCGGTCGACCGCACGACGATCACTTTCTATTTCGAGCCGAGCTAAACCTCAAAACCGCACAACAAAGGCGTGCAACGACCATCATCATCATCTCTAATCCCGGTGTCTTCTTCGTCCGCAATTACAGCCACGGCCACCTTCGTAATCTCAGTTTCATAATAGTAAAATCTACAACCTCCTTTATCCAATAACGCTTAAATGATTTGTGTTTTAAGCTGTTTCAAACATTGATCTGCAATTACCTCGTCGGTGATGTCCCCCAGATGCTGCACGTCCTCCGTCTCCTTGATTTCCTCCGTCTCTTCCCTAGATACGACCTTTCGCTCCTTGACTTCCCTAACCAGACCATCGGGATTCGCGACCGCCACCCACTTCGAAACATCCCCGTCGACGACGTCCAGCGTCGCGACGCCTGCTCCTCCCTCGAGCGCTCCAGCGGGTCCCTCCTTCTGCGCGTCTTCCGCATCGCCCAACTTACGCAACTGAAACAAAAAAACATTAAATATTCCTTATTTAAGCACGCACAATTTTTAAAACTCACCTCCGTCTGATGATGCTCCTGCGTCTCCGAATCTTCCGTGGTGTTCGTGGTGACCTGCGGCCCCGAATCCTCCACAACCTTTCCATCCTCCAAAACCACGTGTCTCTTCACCCTCGTCTCTATCTGCTTCGTGTTTATCACTTCCGTTTTCTTCTTGCTCACCCATTCTTCTACAAAAACACAAAAACAAACTGTTAATACCGACTATTATATAAAGCACTCTAAAGTTCTCATAGTTTTCAATTGAAGCAACAAAAAATAATCGCCGAGTGAAGAAGATTGATGCAACTTCCTATTCCTATTGCCTTTTACGTCCGCAAAATGAAAGCCGCATTCGCAGATTTTCACAAGGAAGCATAAAATCACAAGAAAAGGTACAAAAAATAAATCATTTTCATAATTATATTAATAATATTATTGTTTCATTGTTAATTGGATTATCGTACGTGGCTGACAAATTAATTAATTTCTTAAAATTTGTTAAAACTAATTTTTAACGCGAAGAGGTTTAATTGAAGTCGCCACGATGCAATTAAATAACAATCGCCTCTGTTTACAAACAATTACGTTGTCATGGAATTAAGTCGCGTGGTTACCGGTTTGTTTGTCTTTTCTTTAATTTTCCTGGATGACAGCTACGGCGACTACGATTGGAAAATAACGAAAGTTAACGTTTATCAATCATATTGTGTGCATGATAATTCAAATGGATTCAATATTCGAACGAGGAAGGCGGAATGCGGCGTACGCAATACGAAAATTCTTTTGCGTCTCTTTGTTTTTTTTTTTGTCTTTGTCTCGAAAGCATTAGAAAGTTTACAAATGGAGGCACCTGTCATTACCCGGCATTCAAATCACCGCATTGTCCGCATCATTATACCCACTGAATGCTGCTGCGAGCTGCTGCAACAACGAGAGGACAATCCGGTCTAATCGAGCGTATCGATTGTGCGGCATAATATGCAATTGATGTTTTCCAAGAGAATGGTACGCAATTTGCATACTCTACTGGTTATTTAATTACGCGGTTGCGCGTGTGTTTGGTTGCCTACATCAAATAGTGAAGATCGTTATAAAATATTACCTTACTCCTTTAATAAACTTAAATTTAATTTAATTATCTTAAAGATATTAATAACGTTTTCGACATAATTAAGATTGGGAAAATAGCAACAAAAAAGTTGTTTTTTTTAAATAACATTACAACTTAATTAATTGGATATTGACAGCTGATCAATGATGAAACAATTGTTATTTTTTTCATGGATTACTAAGATGATGATAATAATAAGTGTGTGTGTAGGCGGTTTCATTCATAACACGGAGTGAAAGTCCGCAAATCATTTCCACCTGCATTTTCCGCATTTACATATCACTCTTAATCTGCTCAGTTAATTGCATCGCGCGTACCGAAGAGAGCAAAATTTCACCGCAATTAGTCAACATTTTTTTTATTTCCGGATGCGTTTTACGCAATAAGAAATCGCGCTACAATATTACGAGTTCAAAAAATATATATAATGAAAGATAACTACGTTATTACGTTACGTATATTGAGATTAGCTAATTAACACCGATCGTTTTTTCCTCAATTACATATCTAATGCAAACAAAATTGAATGTTACGCCGTATATTTATGTTATAAGAGTATTCAATTACAACAATGAGCATTGGAACTCGCATTAAATCCGTTCCAAATTGTCTTTCGTTCCACGGAAGGCCGTAAAACGTATACGGATTGCATGAAAACCACGACGATGCGTGCACACCGCAGAGAAGTGAATGCTGTTGGTGCGCCATCTAACGATTCGGATTTCGCATTGTCGAATGGAATCACGATACGCTAATTATCTCTTGTATAAAATTGTATAAAATGTCATTGCCGTTTCGAACATATAAATTCGTTCAATATTGCAAATATATGAATCGATTCGTGGCCTATTTGTTTACGCTGCAATTCGATTAGAAATGAGAAATTTGATCTGCTTTAAATTAAATGCATAAAATAGTTTTGTGCAGAGTTTCCGTTTCATTCGTATAAACAATGCTGCCAATTAGTAATTCAAAAAAAAATCGCGTTTCAATGAAGTTTTCGTGTGCAATTAGCGATGAAGCGATTTTTCATTCAAGAGGGCCTTGACTTTGTATCTTCTAGTGGATCGTGGATGCGTTAAAATTTGTTTCAACAATTGTTTTTAAATGGAAAGTAATTGATTCGTTGTTGTTGTTGTGTTGTTATTAGTTGGTTGTTAGGGGGTGTGTTTGTATTAGTTGTTATGGAAACTTTTGTTGTTTTTCTTACCTTCTTTGGTGGTGGCAAAGGTCTCGGTGTCGCCGCCTTCGACCTGTTCACAGAAACATGGATTAACGTGCACGTAAGAGACGAACGTGACGCGACGGCCGGCGCCGCGACGCAGAGGACCGCAGAGGTCCGACAGTAGCAAAATGACAACCATCCAACATCGCCGAATGCTGTCACATCGCCGCACACATTATGTACTCGCACAACAAACACTCGAATCGTCAAAAATCCGCATTTACACTGCCGCGATTCACGTTTCTCTCTTTCTCTATGAACCCTTTATTCCGCTCGGATTTTCACCTTCGAAACTTTACCGCTTGCTTTTTCGCGTCGGCACGCAGAACGCTTTAGCATTCAAACTTGATTATTCGCTCCAACTATGCACAAACAGACGTACAGAGTTTAGCAAAGAAAGAAACAAGACGCAAAGAAAAATTAATTCAATCAAAAGTAAGAAAATAAGTGCGTATACAATGAATATTACGTTTTGGATCCAATATCGAAAGAAAAAAAAATAGTTATCCGCGCAAATCGGCAGATGGCGCCACCATCGAAACCCACACAATTTGAATAAACCACGTCGCGCATCACACAAATTACGTTAAGTTTAATGACACCGAGTGTATTAGATAATAATTGATCGAATCTAATAGAAATTAATCGCACCGAATCAATCAATATAAAAATATCGAACCTGTTTTCTTGCAATTAATTCACGCAAATCAATCATAAAGAATATTGATTGACGTGCAAACGATTGAATGAAAAGAACTAAAACTATATGATAAATGGCAATTAATAGAGAGGTCTGATTTATTTACGACTGTTTATTGTTGCAGTGCAGCAGCAGCAGCAGGTATATCTGTGTGGTGTGGCCTTTCTATTTCACACGAACGGTCGCATAATAATAATTCATGAAAAGTAATTGTTTAAGTGGCCGCCACAATCTTGGCGCAAAACACTGTTCAGCATATTTAGTCCAACACTTTGTTACTTGCTCACTTACTTATCTGCAGGTGATTATTGCATTCACAACATTGATTGATCTTATGTTTGCATTACAACTTCAATTCAATTTATTAATTAATTATTAACAATTATCAAAATTAACTAAACTTTTGTATTGCATAATTTAAAGACTGATTCATTCTCGCTAATAGCTATTATCTAATTGTGTGCGTTTCATCGATTAATGTCTTTGTCTCGAGGCTAGGACAGATCGAGCACGTTCAATAAACAACAAAAAATTAAACACGTTTTGCACAATGTCTTAAGTGTAATTGCAATCATGTATAGAATTAAATGACACGCAAACAAACCAATCATTTAGGATATTGAGTCTTTCCGTCTCATTACGTTTTCTCGCTTCCATTCTACACTTACACAAAACACCTGCCGTTGCAACATCATCAAGAATAGTGCAATACAGTTTCCTATAACTTGAACTACTCTCAATTTCAATTACTTCGTGTAATAATCACTTCAAATATATTAGATCGATTTACGCCGATTCACAATAACACCGCTGTGAAATAACGCTTATTAATTGCTGATTTTACACTTTTATAGAACTAAACCCTATAGTTGCCTCACTGTAAATATGGGTTCATTTTACGCCGATTCGATTTGCGACGGCTTTTGTAGGAAAAACAAAACTAACTAACTGTAGAATAACAAAATATCAACTAACTAAGTCAGCTAACTCTTAATAAAAAAAAAAAATTAAATTTTTAACAAATAAATTCAAATTAAGCGATAATTCCATATTATTGTATAAATAATCAAGTGTGCTGTACCGTTTCGTTTCTTTCTTTTTCTAAACTTTGTTTTGATGTTTTGTTTCAATCACTGACTGACGCGCACCTACTTATTCCATTTACCGAAGATCAAAGCACTCTCTTTTTCATTTTATTCGCGAATTGTTAATCGTTTTCATTTTTTGTTTCTTTTTCTCTGAAACTTGCGAGCGTCGCGTAAAAATGATCTCTCTCTCTCCCTGACCGCTGATCGCACTGCACTCTGCACTACTACACCTGACAAACCTTAAAACACCTTGCGGGGGGGTTCCCACACCGCCCGTCCACCGCTATTACCGACGTATCATTAGCTCTGTTACGCAATCAAGTGGTGATACGCGCGCGAAACGTCGTTTGTTTTGGGGCCGAACCGGCAATTGTTTCCAGAGCCCCTCCCACAAATAACAAAACAAAAAAAAACGATCGCAGACGAAAATTCAAAATGGAAGAGTTAAAGCCTACTTGTTCTAAATTGACATTTTCATTTATTAACTTTGATAAACTATTTAACATTCTATTACATTTCGCTACAAATCAAAGTTCGATCTAGCGGTGTGAATTATCATGGAACAAGTTTTAAATAGTTGCAATTACTCAAAAGCTCCTGAAAGCCACAAATAATTAATCTAAAACATATAAATCAAGAATAACTTCATAGAAAATCGTTTAACAGTCCATCATTACAATTACATTTTTTTTAGTCTCGTCAATGCAAATTGTTCGTGCAAATAGAAAGCGGTTCGTTTTTTTTTCTTCTTCTTTTGTTCATTCCAAATTTGTTTCGATTGTGCAATGTCTTCACGGCAACCTTCGATTTCGAAAAGAAACAAAATTGAATCCTCAAGAGGATGACTGGAAATTTTCATTACAGAAACACTTTACTAAATGTAGTTATGAGAGACATTAGAATATTGATTGAGGACTGAAGTGGAAATGCGTTAGAAATAGAGGTAATATATATAGTGGTAAAAGCATATTCCCATCGGTAAACGCACAAATAATTCTATTTATACTTTGGATCGAGCGCAATTACTACTACTATACACACACACACACGATGCATGTGCAAGGTGATTTTTTCTTTTCTCTCTCTTTGTACTCGTATTTCGCATTTGCATCCACACAAACACACTTGATCGGGCCTTGGGAAAGTCGTTACACGATGGAACAAACTTCATTGATACAATGTCATATTAGCGAATAGTACTAGAGAAGGAAGGAAAAAAAAAGAACTAACAACAACAAAAAAAGCAACAGCAGATAAACAGAGACAACTTCTATTTTCTATTCTACACCTAATTGCTACTCCCGCGCGTTGCGTAACAAAAACAAACGAACGTCGCGTAACAACAGCCAACCTCCTTTTTTTTTTGTTATGCTATTCTATTCTCTCCATCGCATTGCATTGCATAACAATGCACTTTTTGGATTCAATTTCCATCATATGAATTTTATCTCTGCAAATGGGAATAGCGTTGAGCAAACGGAACGAAATAAATTAGTTCTAATTATGGTATATAATCTCAGGGTTTCATTATGAATATAACATTTGCAACAACAACAACAAAAAAAAATATAGCAAAGATCACTTGCTACAGTTTCGTTGCATAATTATTGAATATCAAATGTTATTCGCTCGCTCACTCACTCACAGGATATTAGTCATCATCATAACATTAATTAAACGGTTACAATCGAAAACTTTTAAATAAATTATGAAACGTTTCTTTCCGATAGAGTCGTCTATGAATCTTCGCGGAACGATAAAATCGTACATGTTATGAACGTTTCGCAACGCTTTTATTACCATGGTAACATTACACCTTGCGGAACGATCATTGCCGGATATTAAATGTTAATTATCGTACGATTTAATTGCATTTCACGCGCCATCTATATTCATAAATTTATAAACATACACACACACACACATTTGACGTAGGTCAAGAAATGAGTTTGCAATCTATACACTATATAGATGTATTTTTTTTGTTGTTGTTGCTGTTGTTTTTCCTTTTCTTTCGCGCCGCTTTTACCGCAAGAACGAATCGGGATAAATATTGTGTTCGCAATAATAATAATAATAGCGTACGAATAGAAAGTCCACTTATCCGTATTTATTATATTATTGACTTTTTCTTTTGCTATCAATTATGTATTTATTGGACTGAGTGGAAAATCTCTCTTAATATCCGTTAATTACGATTCGTAACTTCGTTGCATCTATTACGGTTACGGTTAAGTTTGTTTAATTTTGTTTTACATTGAATTAGCGAAACGGCCCACTTGATAATCAATTATCTTGCACATCGAAGAGGGCGTAATTGAATGCAACAGTTGATGATGATTGATCGAGTGGGACGTGGCAAGGTCGATGCAGGTGGATTATGGTATTCGTATTCATCGAAGGACGTCTTTTTCTGTAGATGCGACGCGGTAAAACGGAAACGGATGTGGCGACATTTACGGAGCGAAACGCACGAAAACGGCTCGCTTCCAAAGTGGATGACTTATTGATTGATCGATCGAGTGCGATTCATTAATTATTCATAGATGTCGCGGGTCATTCAACTGTAGAACGATCGAATTTGATTTGATAACTTGACGTTTTAAAATTTGACACATGTCAAATTAATTTAATAAATGTCATAATATAGCTTGAATTGTACCTGGTTTACTGAATTTGAATCCTTAGAAGATGCGCGAGTATTAGATAGAAACAAATGATGCAATTTCAAAATGATTTCCTGTGTTCGTCGATTGATGATCGTTGATACGAGTTTGAGGAAATGAATAATGATGATCTAATTAAGACACACGCACAATGCACATATTTCACGAAAACACTCGCACAGAGAAAAACAACGTTGTTGTTATAGAATGATTGAATTGCGAAGGTTGAAGATGTGTGTGTGTTTAGATTTGGATGATGGCGCTCTCGAAATGTAGGTGAACGCGAGGAGTAGGTAGATACTGTCTGTCCGCAAATGCAGTCATTCTGCCGCAATTGCAAACACACAGAAACACACAGACAGAAAGCCAGCAGAAATGGCAATTTTGCCTTCGGTGGCGGCCGTCTTATGTAACAACAGACGTGAAACACAACACACACACACATGCATACAGAACGTAAACACGCGCGACGCCCATTGTTCCACCTGTAAGTGAACTAAAATCAGAGAACGAGAACAAAATGATGCAGTTTGTTTCAATTTTCCGAAAAATAAACGAAGGATTCAATTGCATTCAATTTGTTGTTCATCGAAATGCGATAGACCGAAACCGACTCTAATTGGTTTTCGTGATCCTCTCATGCAAATTTGCGCGACGGCACGTTCTCACTTTCGTATCTTCATAGCATCTAGTTCATCCA